ATCTGTTCTTCTATACTTGTGTACAAAAGAAAGTATTCCATCAAAGTTTTGGTCATGTAAACTTACTGAAAGTCTTGGATAAACTGTAAATAATAGTTTTCCACAAGCTAGGTTCCCTTCAAGGGCTCCTAGACATCCTTCAGCAGGATTTTGAATTCTTTCATCAATCAACATCATAGAGATTGGTTGATCAATTTTGTCAGATAAGGTGCTACGAAGTTGTATTCTAATAGCTCCTATTGTAACCCAAAAAAGATTCTTGCTGTTATCAAGATCTATTTTTTGTTTAGCTTTATTTATATCTTGTTTGGTTAATAAAGATATTCCTATCTTTCCATATGTATGTTGTACATGTATGGAAAACTCTTTTTGAGATACACCATAATATACATTTCTATTTTTCTTTGCATATCTTTCAATAAAACTAGGTTGATCAAAGATTTCTCTAGGTTCTATTGTAAGTTTTGTCTTACATATTTTTGCTAACTTCTTGTCAGAAATTAGAATTTCCTTTGAGAAGTTTCCTTGCGATTCAATCTGTTCACAGATCTCATCGTTGGTTTCATTATCATTTACGTGCTCATCAATTTCCATGATGACAAGTTATATAATGCAAGATAAAAATTCTAACATCATATTCATATTTTTGTAAAGCAGTAATCATACTTAATTTGTTCTTTATTATTGCTGATCTACATCTTCTTGATATAGAATCATTATAAATGTCTTTACAAGTTTCATATATAACATATTCAAATGTAATAATAAGAATATGTATATTACAAGCATGACAATCAATCATTTTTACTTAGTTGTCTTCCTAGTTTCCTATCAATGAAAAATAAGTATTTATTTACTGTCTCAAAAGTAATTCTATTACTTATAATTTCTATATAAAATCTAAGCATTCGCTCAAATTCCATTCTTCTACATGCTTGAGGTAATCTATTTTTAATGGGTCTTCTCATTTAAGAAGCCTATCAATTTCATTATCAAGAATCATTTCTATTCTTTCTAATGTTTTTATTTCATTTTTAATAGGGGCCTTTAATAAGGTTCCTAAGTGTCCAAAGTCTAATAACTCTTGAAAATCAAGTATTATTACTCTTAGTTTATTGGCATTTATCTTTTTCTTTATGATATTATCAGTATCATGTATTTCCATTAATATCTTATGAGATTGATTCATAAGGTATGTAGTATATTCTTCTGTATTTAGAACTGTAATTGGATTAGTGGTAAGATCTACTATCCATTGGTCTCTCTTATGAGTATTCATATTATTTGGCTCTGATACCAACTTTTCGGGGCTAGGTGTGCGGAATATGAAAACAAAATTATTCATGACAATGGATGCAAACTGGCATACAAGTATCACATAAAATTAAAAGAAATCTGCAAAATTTAAACCTTCTTACTGTATGTGAAGATTGGGTTCGTTCTCTTGCACTTCTGCCTTATTATGCTGTCCTTGCCTCACTAAGGCGGATTGGGTTTTGTTTCCCTAATGGCCTCCTACCTAATGGTACTCCTTCAACCCTGATCATTATAGATCCGTACATGGAGTGTGCATAACAGAATAGAAGTAAGAAAACATAGTCATTTTATTGCAGAAGGTTTAAGAGCAAAAACTCTCTTAAACTTTATTTAGATACAAGTATTTAGATCTAGTATGGATCCACTGTCTTTGAGGGATTAGCCTCGAAACACGTACATTGATTTTCAAAAGATAAGAAAGAAAAAATTTCTCGTGAAATTTTTCTCCTCCCTTCTCCCCTGAATTTGTCTCCTTTTAAAGATGAGAAAAGATGCTTCCTTCATCTCTGTCGTCCATTTGTCATTAATCCTCAGTTTTTCTTTTGCAAAAGCAAAAGTAGTGATAAAGGGATTAGACAAGTTTGTCATTTTTTCTTTAAAAAAGTAGATGCCCTCCTTTTGTCACATCTTTCTTTTTTAAAGGCAGATTCTTCTTGCAAGTAATCTTTATTCTGATTGATTTGCCGTAGAGCTCCCACTAGACTCTATTTCTTCCTTGTCTTCTTTTGTTTCACACCATTGGCAGATGTGATCTCTTCCAATGCTTTGTCTTAAACATTTGCACAATTCCCCCTTGTAAGTTGAAGGTACGTTGGGTAAATTGTAAAAATTCTTCTCAAAGCTGTACAAAGCCTTGATTCCTTTCATATCAATTGTTGATCCTGTCTTGCTTGTCATTAAGATGAATTCTGATAATTGATTCACCTTAATTTTTGATTCACCATTAAAGGTTCTCAATCCTGTTAATAGTCTTTGGTATGACAAACTTCTCCATTCATTGAGCAGTTGTTCATTCACACACTCAATTTTTGCAGTCGTTGGTTTGTTCAGAGTAATCTGATTCATTGTTTTGATCTGGATGTGGTGATATCCTTTGATCAAAAGTCCTTTATTATTCCAAAATGGAATTGTACTGTTAATTTTCAAGATCATGTGAAGATCTGGATCCTTTATGACGATTCTTTTAAAGTCCCTGAGGGCCTTTAATAAATTATCATCAAGTAATTTAATTTCATCCATTGTTTCACTAAGAAAAATCATTTTGATAAGTCCACAATGAAAAGCTGTCTGCACAATTGTTGGTTCAGATCCCTGAAGGAAAATGAATTGTCCAAATTTTTTTTCAAACATTCCAAGATATGTTTTGCTTGGATCAGAATCTCCAACTGTTCTTGTTTCCTCTTCACATTGAAGAAAATCCTGTAATGAGATTCCATTAAAAAATGGTTTTTCTTGTGATTTAGGAATTTTTCCAATAGACTTGAATCTATTTGGAAGGTCTTCTATTTCAGAATTGTTTTGGACCATATCTTTGAAAGATATCATCCTCAATCTTTGATTTGGATTTGGAGGTACGAATAGTGGTAATCTGAGTCTTGCCCTTGGATTATTTTCTTGACAATATCTAGGTCTGAGTGAGATATTATCGTTAAGGTGGTTATATGAAGATGGTGTAACACCTTTGGCTTCATGGAATTGGTTAAAGGCTT